TCAATCCTCTACAGGGACTCTTGCTTTAATTATGGAGACACAAGTAACTGAGATCATGAGTTGATTAAAAGTTGCCTGGGACTGTGCCTATTAATACATTTCACAAGAGAGCTGCTTTACTTGATGTGCTCTTGGTGGCCGGACCCATTCACGGTTTTAGCTCCCCAGCGCTGTTCTTTCTCACTCACATCATTCTGTGAAGGACACACATAAAAAGAGAGTTAAACACCCAAAGAAATCACTAGTCACACACATTTCAGAGTTCACAACAAAAGCTTCCAGCAGTCACTGAGACCACAAGCATTAGAGAAGCAGCTTCACTTCCCCTCCACTCCAGGGACATGCCAAGACACATATTTGGCCAAACACACATCCCCTGCCCCACAGAGTTCCTCTGGAACTGTCCCAGAACATGCTCCTGGTAGATCAGTAAACCCCAAAAGCCATACCACAAAGTCTGGATCCGTCTCCCAGTCATCAGCTCCGTCATCCTGGCTGACAGACACAGTGTGGCCTGCAGTAGCCTTCCACATCTGCAACAACACCAGGAGAAGTGGGGTCATGCTCCACTCACATGCCAGCTCATTTGATTCATGCAGGAGCTGACAGAGGATATGAAATCCAAAATTCCCAATAAAATATGTTATTTAACCACATCACCAAAAGCTGAACTTGCAGTGAAAACAGGTTTGACCACTGCTGCTCAGACTGTCTTCTCAAGCTGGCTTACAAACCTGTTTAACTCTCCCATTTGCACTGTAAAAAGATTAGGAGCAATTGCTGTTCTTTTAAAGAGAACAAAATCACCTTTCTTTGCTCAAATTACTGTGTGCCTTTTGTGCAGTCACTGCACTCAAAGACTTCTGCTCACACAGGTTTCTGAGCCAACACAAACTTTCAAAGAGTGCTGCTAATTCTGGATCCTGTGCATACAATTAAGGTGTAGAAATAGGTGAATTTTTTCCCCCCAGGAGTTAAAAATGGTGAGCACAACATTGTTCTTCACCTGCATTACACCTGCACAACCTCCAACAACAGAGAACAGGAGTGCTTGTGCTTCTCAGGTAATCCCCAGTGAGACACGGTGCACACAAACTCGGCACCTCGTCTGGCTTTCAGACAAACAGAGTGTAACTGCAGGAAGCAAGACTCATAAAAAAGGCAAACAATGACTTCAAGAAACAACACCCGGCACTTACAAGAGTTTAATGATTTGGGTTCTCTCACTTTCTGGAAATTTTATCCCCCACGGAGTATCAAGTTGGATGCTTTTAATTAACACTTCTGAATGCAACTAGTTAGCAGGATTCCTGATCTTTCTGGTGCTAGTGGCTGGAATTTACACCCTTTATTTTAGGTATCAAATCGAAACAAATAAATTCTAGAAAGCAAAACTGAAACATCAAACTACAAAGCTGCTAGTTCTCCCAGCTTGTTCAGAATACATTTCAGAGAAAGGATTTTTCCTTGCTATTCAACTAGAATTCAGTTTTTTAACATACCATCATTCTGTCCACTTACCTTTATCCTTCTAATTAAGAACAGACTACAAAGATAATTATCACAGGCTATTTAACTCACACTTGCATAATTCAGTGGGCGGGATGAAACTCGCTCCCTCTTAAATGCATAACTAGTAATCCCTGGGTAAAGTCCACAGCTCGTTCTCTCAGGCTTGTTCTGCAGCCTGGCAGAACAAGCTGATGAGCCACTTTTATGGAGCATTTCAGAAATTTCAGGACTAGTAACGTGAGTGAGAGCAGCTGAAAAACTGACAGTCAAACGCCAGGGTAGCAAATATTGGAGTAGCCTGGAAGGAGGGTGTAAAAGCAAAGCAGGTGACATGCTAACAGTATTAGCAGGTTTCCCCTCATGTTTTTTGAGGTCTCCTAACTTCCTCTGGCAGGTAAGGAACTAACCTTGATAACTTCATATCCAAAAAACCTATAACCCAAAACCTTTAGAAGAAACCTTTAGAACCTTTAGAACATGGGTGGTTTAACATCATCCTTAACTTTGTCTAAAGCCTTCTCTCACATGATTGTGTCCAACTGTCCTACTCTTTCCTTCTAAAATCTAATTTCTTGCTAAAAAAAACCACAAAAGCCTTGGAAAGCAGAACCTGCCCACCTCAGTAATGAAATTCAACATAGGTCCAAGTTCTTTCTAACTTCTCCAAAGAGGGATGTTTTGTATACATCCTTCTGTGCTCCACCACACTGTGCAAGATGTTTAGGAATGGAATTCAAGTGATGAGAGCTGATGCAGGGGTACTGTGCATGGTGAATTTCTTCACTTTGTGCCAAATGCAACTTTTCTCCCTCAAGTACTTGTTTCTTATGCTCACTTGATTGATGTATTTTACTCATTCAGCTGTGCTTGGACATTTCAAAGAACAAAAGCTGAATCCTTCAGTCTAGGTTTCACTGCTTTTTCCTCAAGCTCCCACAAACAATAGTGCAGGGAAGAAGAATTTCACACGCATCCCCGTACAAAATCCAGAATCCACCATGATTCTTTGCAAATCATGCACACAAACGCCAACATTTTCCACAGTTCAGCCCTGCACCCTGTGAATTCCACAAGGAGCAAAGCAGCCCCAGCGATCTGGGCCCCCAGTCCACAGCGAGCAGGAATAAGCCTGGTTTCCGCCTGCTATTCCAGCACCGATTCCAGGGCAGAACGAGGAGAAACACGATCTATTCATGACTCACTGGCTCACGTGGTCATGATTCCTGAAGGAAGAAGCAAACGCTACGGTTCGAACACAAACCTAGGCTAAATATATGCCTCGAATGTATGCGCTCCTCGGTGCTGCTATGACTAATCAGCACACACATCATCCTACCCAGCATCTTCAGCGGCACCCTCGGCACCTCCCCGCTCCCCGGGGCCTAGGGACGAGCTCCGGACAGCAGTGCCGAGGCTCGGGGCGCAGCTGAGGGGAGCCGGGCAGCAGCTCCCAGGCGGGCCGGGCCACTCGGCCTGAGTCCGGCTCCGCGGGCGGGGGG